GCACCAACAGCAGCAAGCCACCAGAACCAGATGGAGAACCAGGATCGGTAATGTGCTCCTCAGCTTGCAGCAGTACTCAGGATCAGGTCCAACCGTTTGCTTCAGCAAGCTACAGCATCCACCTGTGTAAAAACTAATGACCAAGGCCTCAGTCATTACAGGGTGGAATGAGTAGTGGCCTGTCGTTCTGTCCCTGTTGATCATGAAATGCATGGAGCGACTGATGTTACAGCATGTTAACAGTATGCTTAAAGACCTAACAGGTTTACATGTCAGGACGGGATGCTCCATCATCATCATCTGAGGCGGTGAGGAAGTGGGGGCAAGTTTGTGCGTCAATGGAGGGACATGAGGGTGAAAAAGAGTGGGGATCCAGGTGGAAAAAGGGTCCTAGTGTTCTCTTGCACTTCGCTCTTCTAGCTGGTTCATCTTCACAAATCGTTTTCCACAATGGGCGGTCATACAAACAAAACAAGCCGGTAAGGTACATAACAGGAAATATGCATAGTGTAGAGCGGATGAAGATTTGACCAATCAGAGGTCTACTGTCTGCAGTCACCTAAAATNCCGCCCACCTCACGCACAGGGCTAATTACAAGTCAAACTAGGATCCTTATTATATTATAATAATATGATGTAGATGCATGCAGTTTTATCTCTTTATGCTGCTGACTAATCAATGTCTGGTTTAGTTGGTTGGAGATCTTTAACCATCTGCAGACAGCATTGGCATCTTTAAAGCTCAGCAAATAACTCTGACAAATACCTAAGTAACCTACTTTCTGTCATCTCAAGTAATTACCATTAGTGGGCCCCCTAACATTTGCTTTGAATGTTCTGAGGACACATTTTTGCATATCTGCATATTTCAGCAATGTACCGCAGTGTTGAATAGTCTGAAAAAAAGTTCCAAATATAAGTCTTTACATTAATTGAATATTTAGGAGTAGAACAGAAAATACATATTGCTTTGTTCAAAAAACTGTAATTTATTTAGCTGCTTATATATTTATGTGTTTTTTTTTTTGTTGTTGCATTAAATAGGTCTCTCTTGTAAAATATATTTTTAATCCTAATGTGACTCCTTGGTTGATAAAAGGTCTAATAAATGATTTGATTAGTTTAACAGTCTGAAAAACATAATCAAAAGCAACAGTTAGTTTTCCTCTAGTTTATCAATTTAATTGAGAATACTGAAAAATAAGGTAAGTGAACAGATAAAAAAAAAAGAAGCTAATATAGGTCTAAACTAATGGCTAAAAAAGCCTAAGGTATGGTAAGCTTTTGCAAGCCATTGTAAATAGAGATAGTTACTAAAATAGATCAGCTCAAAGTTATAAACCAAGCTAAGGTTTCTATATGCTAAGTTTAAGTAGCCAGTAAACATTGAGTCAATCTAAGATAACCCTAGTGGGATAGGTCATACTCGGCCTAAATAAAGCTAAACCAAACACAGTGGAGTTATGTTTAAGTCGCTAAGTTAAGGTTAGCTCAAAGTTACCTTAGCTTCAATAATAACTTAGTTTACTTTAGATCACTTTAGACTAATGTTTTGTAGCTATCCCTAGTTTTATATAGGTCCTACTTTGTCAGTGATTAGTTAGTTTAGCTCAGTTTACCTTACCTCACCTCAGTCAAACTTGACTCATGTAGGCCTTGCCTATCTTAACTTACCTTGCCTTACCTTGCTTAGCTTCACCAATTCTATTCTTAGTTACTTTATGTTATCTTGGTTTAGCTCAGCTTACCTTAGGTTAAGTTATCATAGCCTCATAAACTTACCTTAATTTATGTTACCTTATCCCTTTTAGCTTGTTTTTGCTCAGTATGGTGTACTGTATGTTTATTTAGCATAGTTCGCTTTAGTTTTCCTAATGTCTGTAAACCAAAACGGCAGACAATTTGACCGAAGCATGATGTTTCTGTCAGATCCAATGAGGGCAGTAGGTAGGGGTTCCTCTGTGGGGAGAAATCTAAAGACAAAACACGATGTGAATGCAGTTTAATGATATTATGTATTGAATGTAGTATCAGGGCTGCTCAGTGGCGCAGTGGGTAGCATTGCTGCCTTGCAGCAAGAAGGCCCAGCCACTCTTTCTGCAAGGAGTTTGCATGTTCTCCCTGAGCATGCATGGGTTATCTCTGGGTACTCTGGCTTCCTCCCACAGTGCATAAACATGACTCTTAGGTCAACTGGTTTCTCTAAATTCTCCTTAGGTCTGAGTGTGTGCATGTATAGTTGCTTGTCCTATTTGTCTCTTTGTTGCCCTGAGATGGACTGGTAACCTGTCCAGGGTGGACCCTGCCTCTCACCTGTAGACAGCTGGAGATAGGCGCCAGCATCAGTTTTTTCTGCTCTGTGTCATTTGAATGTGTCCTAATTAGAAGTAAACTGTGAAGCAGCACATTGGATGGTTAGTTCTCACTGGTTTCTGTTTTGGTCTAATAATAAACTGACTGTATTAAAAGTATATTCTGAAAGAAATCACTGTAAGCATCATTTTAAAAGTAATGAACTCAGCTTGAAGATCTACCAGTAAAAACCTTCTGTCTCAACCAGTCAGAGGACAATCTTCACTGAGGAATAAAACCAAATCATTGGATATAACTCAGGGAATATTCAACCGATCATAAATAATTTTATCCCTACCAGGCTTTATTCAAACTTATAGTCTTAATACTAGAAAAGAGTGATCCATTATAGCTTAGTTGTCCTCCATATTTGATCATCACCAGGTTCTCGCTGGGTGCTTGTATCTTATAATTTCCACCTCAGATGAGAAACAGCTGACATATTTCATCAAGTCATTATTATTAATTATGAAGATGATTGAGGCCAAAAATCCAGCATCTGTAGGTGAAAAGCTAAGTCCTTCCCATGATCCATGAGCTGGTAGAACCTCGTTTTCTGTCTGGCCCCTTAAATCTGGACTTTGATTAGGCCATTCCAATGCCTCATTTTATTCCTTTTTCTCAGAGCTGCTGCTGGACCTCTGTTCTAACGATAACCCAGTTTGGACCAAGCTTTAGTTGTTGGACACATGAGCTTATCGTGACTCAAAAATGCTTTAATAGCCAGAGGACTTCATGGTCCAGTCAATTACTTCATAGTGCCCAGATCCTGTGGCTTTAGAAGACGCAAAATCAACCCTCCAACACCATGTTTGACAGCTGCTATGAGGCATTTGTGCTCCTTTGCTTTGTGTGGTTTTCTCTGAGGATGATGCAGTGAACACGGTTCCAGACATATTCTTAGTGAAGCAAACCTAAAACCCGCTTCCATATTGCTTTTCCTTTAACCCAAACAGCCATACCTGTTCAGTGGTTTACTGGGAATACATTTATTATGTTCCTCTACTTATACCCAGTTACCCTCCCCGGCTAATAAAGGGGCTCTAACCCTTATCAGATTGATGGTGGTTTGATTTCTTAAGGTCATTGTTGATTTATTGCTTGTGGAGGAGTAAATTGTCCTGTTGAGAATGTGAGTTTTTCTCACTGATAGTGATTAAACATTAAGGTTTTTCACCAGCAGCTCCTGAATTCTACATTTTTTCTCTTAAAAAACAAAAACACGTGGGTGTTGTTTCTCACATTGTTCTTTTTTGGCTTTGTGTCTAAGAAGTATTTACACAGTGTAGAGTATAGGGTAAACAACATTTTATTTGTGAAGCAATGCGTGTTTTTTTCAATAAAAAGGGGGAAGAATTCGCACCATAATAGTATCTATGAATAATTTGAGTGAAACAGCAGCTGAATCTTTTATATATTGCGCAGAGTTGCATTGCGTAATTGGCTTCTGACTCTATTTTCTAAAGTTTCCTGCTAAGTTTCCTGATAAAGTCCCCACTGAGCATGTGCGTTAGCTAACAGGTAGTGTTGTTTTCACATTTTGAACAGATCAGAGTGAAGGCAATGAAAGGTTTTTCTCTGTAAGACAGAAAAACTGCCTGGTGTTCCTCCGAGTCAATGAAGTGAAAAAGTTAGATGTTAAACACACCGATAAAACTGACTATATGTGGTAATTCTAACGATCTTAATGACACAGACATTAATCACTATAGATGTTAATGAGTTTTTGGATCATGTTTTTCCTTCTCTGGATGTTTTTTCTATAACACTGCTAATTACGCAGGTATAACTATGTTCTGTAAACATTTCTCTTTTTTTTTTGTACCTGAATGCAATTTTTTTTTTTTATCTGAAAAGCATTTGTTCCCTTTCACATGTGTATTTCTTTTCTTTCCTGCTGTACAGCTTAATGTTTAAAGTCTTGTTTCTTCTGTGTTTTTTTTACAACAGTCCCCAATTTTTCCCACTGTGGCCCAATGAAGGTATTTTTGAACAAATTTTTCCTAAATCTTCAGCTCTGTGTTATTGACACGTGGCAGGTTGGTGTTAGCCACAAAGACTTACCTCACTCTAATCTGTTCTTTTCCTTGATATGATTGATTAATCCAGAATAATATGGGACTGAGGGCAAAGCGTAGGGACTCCAGCATGGTTGAATGGACTTCTAGTAATATTTTGAATTTTGGACAGTGTAAAGATCTGAGCTGCAGAGGAAAACTAAAAGACAAACCGAACCAACGTTTAAAATGGGAGGAAACTTTACAATGTAATGAACCAAGTTTTCCTGCAGTGAAATCTCCAGGCTCCTCGGACTGACTGAAGGTGATGAGAGTCCTGAATATCTGCAGAAGCTTTTGGATTCACAGTTGTAATGTCGACGAAACCTGATGCCCAAGTTGGTTTCCTGTTAGCGCTCGTTTGCAGTCAATCACCCAATCTACCTTACAGGATCCTTACCATCGAATGAACGAAGAACTGACTCAAAACATCCTTTAAATCAGAGGAATAGTATAAAACAAATGCTTGAATCTCCCGCAGTGACAATTTAGCTCAACTTTGTGTAATTTCTGATAAATTCAAGCGTGACGCAGCAGGACACACCAAAACCGGTAACAGTGTGCAGCAGACAAAAAGTTTGAAAGTTTTACCTCCATCCTGCTAGTCGTCTCTCAGCCGCCTCAATATGTCGAGTATGTGTGAAAGTGGGTGGGAGGGGACCTGCGGGTTAAATATAGACCTGGAGTCACGTCTGAGAGAGAGGGACCTTCAGCTCCACCAGGCAGAGGGAGAGAGAGGAGGCAGCTCATGTTCTGTCACATGGGCGTCATGTTTGTGTTTAGATACTCATTGATATCTGCTGCTTTGATACAACTGATGTCAGGTCAGATATTCAGCAGAAAGGGAAAAGTTAAAAACTTCAAAACGTGACCAGGTTTCGGGTTGGAAAAAAATCTAGTGTTTAATAGAGACAATTTATGTCCCAGAAATGCTGTATAACTAAAAAAATAAAATAAAATAAACAAAAATATGCAGATATGAGCAAGCAAACGCAAATTAAATAAAGACGAAAAAAATCTGGTCTAAATTTCTCCACCATAGAAAAATAAAGGACCTTTCTTTCTTTGAGGGGGAAGGTTCTGGACTCAAACATCTGTGACATAAGGCAGCAACATTGTTAAACTAAAAAAGATAGATCAGACCTATAATGACTGCTTGTGGTGTCCTACAAGGATCAGTGTTAGGACCAATATAGTTGGATTTACTCATCACACAAATAGCATCCGAATATGCTAAAACCTGTCTTATTGGATGAAAACAAAAATTATTTTGTTCTAGGCCAAATATTTGGCAGCTTTTGGAAATGCTGTCATTAATATTAACTTTTGATCAAATCAAAACTTATAAACACTTTGGGAAAAGCTATATTATAACAGTATTTTCTCATATACAAACTGGATGAAAATATGAAAACACGTTTCTTTTCTGTAATAGTCAACCTCAAAATATACCAGAAAGGAAAATTATAGATCAGTTAATATGATGATTAAATTTAGGAAATCATCAAAATAACAGATATTTAGGGGATAACAATCTGAGAATGGATTGTAGAGTTTCTTGAAATTGGAAATCTAGGATGGCATTGTTTATTTTATTGGGATGCAGATGATTATAAGTTATGCAATAAAAATGGTGAAATGTTTCAGTTCTGTTCAGCTTCAATTTGAAAAAGACCAATAATTTACTGTAAACATTCACCATATGTCTGCTTTTTCCAACCAGGGATCAGTCCTGTGAGTCCTTATAAGAAAAAACATGTCCCTGTTCAAAGGTCCAGAAAGTCTGAGCGAATGTCAGAAACTAAGGGCTGGACAACCTTTGACCCGCCTAATGGCTACATGTGAGATCTGTCCAATAACACTCAGCATTACCTGAGGCCTGGAAACAGTCTTCTGAACATGAGTTCACGGTGGTCATGAATGGATGGAGATCAGGAACAGCACTCAGAGAGGCAGGTTCTGATAAAGTCAGAGCTGTCTGTCTTGTACCAACAGACCAGCTGGTCTGAGGCTCAGGTTCAACTTCAGTAGGTCGTCTTCATCACATCTGGATGAATAAATAGTCTACATAATAAAGTGACCACTGAAAATATCATCCCTCCAGAGACTTTTGGGACTGACCCAAGGTGTTTTCACAGTGGGATGTGACTAGATGACCTTTACAGGTAAGCCTCCTGCTCAGATACACCTTCTCAGCTGACAGAGCCAATGAAAAGAAGGACTTTTAGAGGATGCAGGTCTTCTCTTCATCTCCAGCCCTGCAATAGTTATGGTAGAGAAAGCTCCACCTTCACCTCCAGAGACTGGAGCAACATTGTCATTGATGACCAGACATTGTCATCTGATCCAGATGATGCTCCCTGGAAACAGATGGATCAGAAACGGAGCGACTAACACTCCCTCAGACTTCTTTATAAAACGTCTTTGCTGTCAGTTAAACCATATTTTATGGTTTCACAAAGAACCTCTCTGCTTGTCATCTCATGGGCTTTTCTGCATCTTTATCTTCTCTTGCAGCCATCTTATCTGTTTTGATGATGTACATGAGGAGGAAGCCAGAGCCACTCTACAGGAGGAAGTTACTTCACTCAAGCAGAAAAAAAGTTAGCTTTCATTTCTCTTTTTTGACTTTCATCATTTCCCTCTAAGCAAACACATTTCTCCTGCAAAACCCCAATATGACAACTATTTTGGGTTCCAGAGGGTAACTTAAAATATGGTCATTTTTCAACTTAGTGTAAACTGAAATTTAGGTGAAGATTCTCGACTAATGCTCGGCCAATCAAAGCTAAGGGTTTGCCCGCGGAACAGGAACAGGTGACGTGGTTGGAGGGGAGTGGTGGAGCTGACAGGAAGAGACGACGAAGAAGCTGGAAACCTTATAAGGTGAAAAACAAATGCTCTGAGAAAACTGCATGAAGATGTTACCCAACAGCAGCTTCTGACTGACATAATATAGGCAGTGCCTGCAGATCATGTCCATTATCTGTACAACATGTTCAGAGTCTCTAAAACACCTCTAAAGTCTGCAGTCATTTTTGGCATCAAGAGAACACTTGTAGTGTCTCTAAAAATCTGTCCCTCTTAAGAACAGGGAAGTCAAAATCAGTTTTCTTTAGGGCGGGTATTCTGCAAATTATCTCCCCAGTCCAATAACCTGAATCAAATAACTCAATTACCTACTCAGAGGAAGTTAAGTTCTGCAAAGGACCTAGTTACTTTATTCAGGTGTGTTAAAGCAGATACATATCT